GAGCACATGAAGCCAGTCACATCAAGAGAATCAAAGAAATGCACTCGATGTGTGTAAACTAACTCATTCACCCGTTTATTTTCCAAATGGGCCAGGCTAAACAGCTGGCCAGTTTACTGCAGTCATAATAAACAGCTCTGAAGACCACAAGGACCGGAGAAGGAGCAGAAACTCGGTAGGTAATGGATTTCAGGACACAACCAGTTTGGATAAAAATGAGAGTGGCATTTCCAAGCTTTCTTATCTCTAAATCACTCTGGCAACAAGATTAGCTATGAAGCAGACTGCATGTGCTTATTAGTTTAGGTGTCACTAATTATAAATAAATATTGTTTGTGAAAGAGGATTTAAACCCTTCACAACAGATTGAAGGCCACATGAGCAGCACCTGCTCCAAATTCCTGATCCCCACCTCTTGAGAAAACTTCACCATTTTTAACCAGTGCATCTCAGTTTTGAGAAATACAGAAGAAGCCAAACAAATGGTGTGACAGTTTAGGCTCCGGCATTTAAGCAGTGTGAGAAATAACATGCAAATACTTAAAGAGCAGCAAAGTCAAAGTCTGGCAGTGTTTAAACAACACCCTCCCCCTTGCTAGTGTAGAATCTTAGAACGGGTTGGGTTGGAAAGAGCCTTAAGACCATCCAGTTCCAACCCCCTGCCATGGGCAGGGACACCCTCCACTAGACCAGGGTGCTCACGGTGCTGTCCAACCTGACCTTGAAAACATAATGCAGGAGCAGCCTGGGTCACAAAGAACAGACCACACTGAGGTGACTCACCTGGTACGTATTGTAATAGCAGATGATGCTTTTGTTTTTAGACAGTCCCAGTTTACTGCCCTGATCTGTGGCAAGGGCAAAGGTGGACAGAAAGCCTGGTCGCAGTGCGTGTTCTGGAGCATTATCATTGGCAACTGGAACAAAGCAAGACAATTCGTATCACTACAAGTTATGTCTGACTGCATCTCAAGGAGTTAGCTGGCTCAGTCCTCCACTAGAAGTACATCTGATATTGTGAAACATGTAACACATCTCACGTGCTTCCACAATGAGGACAATCTTCATCACTTAATATTCAGTACACCATCAGTGCTCCCTACACCAGCATCCTTCCTAGCACTCCTGAGGAACAGGCTTTTCCTTCAGTACATGCAGCCTGTGCTGATGTTACTTTGGTTGTGTCCCCCCTGCTGTGTGTGCTCATTCCAGCCCTTGAACTGAGGGAATCTCTGTGGCCTGCAATTACTGAGGCCACGAACAAAGAACCAATTTAAAGAGGTACATAATCGACTACTAACTGGAAGCCCAATTTAATTCTTTGATTTAGATACTCAGGTATCGGGCACAACCAGGGCAGATTCTGATGTGCTGCTCCACCCCCTGCTGTTCAGTCACGGCATCGGCTGCAGGGAGAAGGTGGAGTTACCTTTGATAACAGGCACTCCGTCTCTGTCCGAGACTACAATCGCATGAAGACCTTCAACGCTGCGAATAAATGAAGAAACACCATCTTAAAAACAGAGTAGTTAGTAGTAAAGATCTTGTTTTCCCTGAACAAACACACAAGGAAGGGGGAAATATGGGAAAGACTGACACCTTTGCTAATGCAGTGTTTCACGGAAGGGGGCTTGTTCTGTATAGTGCAGGTGGGCTCTCGGAGCAGTAAAACAAGAAATAAGAAATCAAAAGACTAAAAATCCCATGGGAGTCCCAGCAACTGGCACTTCCCAAAAGGCCCGGTACAACTAACAGAGTTCCCCTAGTCAAGCAGGAGCCTTTCGGTGGTGCCCTCGCCCAGCGAGCACCAGTGTCACCCTGCCTCAGACCTGCGGCTGTGGCAGACCTGTTTAACGCTGCCAGTAACAGGTAATTACGGAGAAGGGAGCTGTCAAGGATTAGGCAACCGAGTCACGAGGAACGGCTTTTCCATCCGCCCCTCGGCCGGGCGGGTCGAACACACCCCGCCGCTTCCTAAAGAGCGAGTGGAAGGCGAAGCTCTCTTCATCCCACCTCGCTTGAGGGGCCCAGAGCGTTTACCAGAGCGACTGTCCCCCTGCCACAACCCGGCACGGGGCGGATGACCGCCTCTCTAAACCAGAAGCGACTCCGCCGCCAGCCCGTGCTCCGCAGGGCCCGCCGCGCCCCCCTCAGTTACCTCGGCAGCTTCTTGTACAGGAACCTCTTCAGGTCCTGCGGGCAGAGACGGGACCGCGCGTTACTTATGTCCGCGGAACGCCGCGCTCCGCGTCAGGCCCCGGCACCTCCCGCCGTCCCGGCCGCTCTCCCCCGCGGCCTCCCGCCGCGCCGCCGCCCGCGCCCCAACCACCTTCCGGAGCCGCACTTACGTCGGCCATGGCTGGGGCCCTGCCGGCGCTGCCGCCAACTCCGCGGGCCTACGAGACGAGAAGGCGCCGGTCACCCACCCCGAAGGAGGGCAGCGACAGGCGGGCGGGCGCGCTCCCACCCTGAGGCCCGGCCGCCTCCCCCCACCCCGCTGTCTTGGTAGAAGCCACCCCCACCCGTCCAGCGAAAGGAGCGCGGTTGGGCGGAGGCCACTACCGCACCGCCGGGGGTGGAGGCGCTGCCCTCCCCGCCACACCTGACTGCGCGCCCGGCGCTACTGCTGCTGCCCCCTCTACCCCCGTGCAGCCGTCGCTTCCCCTTTAAGCCGCTGTCACATGACGGCGCGTCAGCCCCCGCCAACCCGGAAGCGCTTGGCGCCGGCTCTGTACCTCCTGCGCAGGCGCAGCGGGTCAGTGGAGCGGAGTGCGGGGTTGGGAGCCCTTGGCGTTGTGGTGACCGTGGGTGCTCCTTCATATTGGATGCTGATATTGGATCGAGCCGCCGGCCTGCAGGCTGGTAATGTAACAGCTAGAGCGAACAAATAAACCAGGTTCATCCGGCACAGGTACGGGGAGGCCTGGCAGGTTGTCTGTAACACACTCCACCAACCCGCCAAGGCAAGCGCCATGTGCTTACCATGGTGGAAGCAACCACCGGGTGGCTGGAAACACATGCTGTGCCCCATGCCACTGCCCGGAACACCATCCTGGGCCTTGAGAAACAGATTTTGTGGCGACACGGCACCCCAGAGAGAATTGAGTCAGACAATGGGACTCATTTCCGGAATAACCTTATAGATATTTGGGCCAAAGAGCATGGCATTGAGTGGGTATATCACATCCCCTACCATGCACCAGCCTCTGGGAAAATCGAACGGTACAATGGGCTGTTAAAAACTACACTGAGAGCAATGGGTGAGGGAACTTTCAAGCATTGGGATACACACCAAAGGCCACCTGGTTGGTCAACACCAGAGGATCTGCCAACAGGGCTGGCCCAGCCCAGTCAGAACTGTTACATATTGTAGAGGGGGACAAAGTTCCCGTGGTGCATATGAAGAATTTGCTGGGGAAGACAGTCTGGGTAATTCCTGCTTCAGGTAAAGGCAAACCCACTCGTGGGATTGCTTTTGCTCAGGGACCCTGATATACTTGGTGGGTAATGTGGGAAGATGGGGAAGTCCGATGTATACCTCAAGGTATAATTCTGTGTGAAAATAGCCCATGAATTAAACTCTGTGATGCCAATTGCTATGCAACACTGTATGTTATCACTTCTGTGGTGGCTATATACCCATCACTGCACTGTCTCCACCACTTCAGATTCAAGGATCTGAACCTGACTTCCTTTGGATTGTCGTGGCAAGGGTATTACAGTAAAAATCATACAGATTAATCAGGACTGGCTTCAGCATGCAACAATGCAACGCCACCTCTCCTGCCCTGAAAGGCTGTTAAAACAAATGGACTAAATGAACTTAATGGTCATTTTACAGGGATGGTCCATAGACTAGGGAAATGGTATCTGTTTGTGTGTGTGTATCAAAAGACAGGAAAGGTGATGGTGTATTGGAAAGTGTGGGACCTGGGCATGATGTAAATGGTATAGAATAAGGGGTGGATACTGTCCTGGTTTTGGCTGGGATAGGGTTAATTTTCTTCCTAGCATCTGGTGCAGTGCTGTGCTCCAGCTTCAGTCTGAGAACAATGCTGGTAACACACCAATGTTTTAGTTGTTGCCAAGTAGTGCTTACTTTACATCAAGGACTTCTCAATTTCCCATGTTCTGCCAGTGAGGAGGGGCACAGGAAGTCAGGAGGGAGCACAGCCAGGACCCAACCTGGCCAAAGGGATATTCCATACTATACCACATCATGCTTGGTACAGAAACTGGAGGGGAGTTGGCTGGGAGACACAGGGCGGGCATCAGTCATCTGGTGGTGAGCAACTGTATTGCGCATCGATTGCCTGTTTTGGGGTTTATTCCTCTTTTTGTTGTCTTCCTTTTTGTTACAATTCTTATAATCATGTTTTATTTCAATCATTAAACTGTTATTTGAACCCCCAGGTTTTCCCTTTTTTCCTATTCTCCTCCCCATCCCACCGTGTGTGTGTGTGTGTGTGTGTGTGTGTGTGTGTGAGTGGCTGTGTGGTACTTAGTTGCCATCTGGGGTTAAACCACAACAAATGATGTATTTCTTTCCTATATTTATTACATTTGTACTATTTGCTCTTGATCACATGCCAAAAATGGCACAGAATTTGACATTTGTTACATGGTATCCTTTCTCCAGGTTTACAAAGGAGCATGGGGAAAGCAGTGCCCAGAGATGAGCAGCACTTGCAAGGTCATGTTGAGTTGTTAGCAGATAGGGGATACATCACTGGGGCTTACAACTGCCATGAATCATGATGACCAAAGCCCCTCTGGTGAAACTGACTGCGCTCTGTTAACCCAATAGAGACAACTGGGAAACCAGGACTTTTAGCAGTTACAGCTTCAGGAATTTGTGTAGTAACTGTTTTTTTTTTAAACCAAAATATTTGTTTTCACTGTTACATTTTCTGTCTGCTCTCTGACCGATTACAGGAAAAAAGACTAACAACTGTTTAGCGGATGAATGGAATTTATAGGACAAACAACCTTAGAAAACATTCTTGCCCTCTCATTTTAATCCTTTTACAGCATTCATTACAAAATTACATTAAAAATGTACATAATTTAAAGTTGTCTCTGCTGCCTATTTAAATGCATCTATTACATTTTAGTGCTATAGTGTTCTACTTTTCTTGCAAACTTGTAAAAGAATCAAGACTAAAAAAAGGTTAAAAAAAAAAAAAGTAAAATTAAATTTAATCTTGTTTTACCTGAACAGTTAGAGAACTTGTAGGGAAATGTTCATCAGATGTGAACACTGAACACACTTGTGACTCAGGATGCTCCATAAATAGAACACAGACTGATCGCTATAATCTCCCTTTCTCATTAGGGTATGACATGTCAGAGTCATGTCAAAAGTTTTCACTTTCTGCAGGACCTTCCTGCTTGCCCTTGTAGAGGAGAAATCAAAAACCCATGCATGTCCTATTTTTAATTCTAGATTCAATATACAGGTAATGTGTAAGTAGAGTAAGGAGTTAATTCTTGGTAGCTAGAAAAGTTCAGGGATTTTTAGTCAAGCCATTCAAAACCAGTTTGTTTTTTCCCTTTCTTTATGATACCTTAGTTCAATGAGAACATCTTCTGAAGAAAGGTCAAATGCAAATACCCAAGTACTCCACTCTCTTCTGTTGGCATCTTGTTCGTAAGAAAATCCATTCTGAAATTTCCAGCAGATTCCTCCTTTTTCCTTTTCTAAAGAAAAAATCCTTCAGACTTGAGAAAACAGTAGCAATCATGAGGACAGAAACAGCTACGTGGAATATTGAAGGAACATTTGCAGACCACATTTAGAGCAGGTTAAATGTTATGCTATGGGAAATAACAGCATCCTTCTACATGTCACTGCATATTTCAAAGTGTGCCACCGTTCAATCTTTTAAATACTAAGTAACTTCCCTGAAAATGGCAATTGCAGTCGATAATCCAGTGAGATGTAGCCACCCAGGTCTTGCTTTTAAACTACTGGGACACCTGTGCTGCCACAGCCACTGCATGATTCTGCTTTGCTGAGGTACCTACTGATAGCAATCTAGCCACCCTAACACAGCCCAAAATATTCGTCCATTTACCTGCTTCTCAGCTGCTGCAGGAGCAGGGCAGACATAACCCACCTGATTACTATACGATGCTAACAGCATCTTTTCACTCTGACTTCACTGTTCTGATATTTGATGTGTGTGTGGCATCTGAACTAAAAGATCACTCTGCAAGCTCACACTCATCTGTGAATGGGAAGGCGCAACTACTTATTAAAGCCTTTGGAACAATTTTCTTCTATTAAGAAGACACAGGAGTACCAGTACGTACTTTGATAGTTTGTTTTCATTAGTATAATTACAGTACATTCTGGACAGTTACAAAATCTGGGGAATCATGTTTTCTCCATAAATTTCTATTGCAGACTTCAAACACATGGGTGCCTTTCCATTACTTCTGCATGGTTTTCCTACGATCTTAGTAAGGACATCCAGTACAGCAACCCTTTTATTTTCCCATTTGTTTCAGCAGCTGTTAGTTCTGCTTTGTACCTCAGGCTTTCATGTCTACCCTGAATGCTGGTTTAGCTGCTTACTTAGAAGCCTGCAGCTAGTCCCTCTCATTTTACACCAACATTTCCAGTGGGACAGCTTAGAAAAGGTATATAATGCAAAATGATTTCTGGGTCACTCAGAGCAATAGCATTTAGTGTATCTCTAAAGTCAAGTCCTGCTCTGGATCAGGAGGAATTCCAATGAAGGCAGTCAAGTATTTAAACATTCAGTTCAGAAGAACTTGGCTCCACATTAACTGATAGCATTGCTCAAACATAGCAGTTTTCTCAGACAAAAAATACTGCCCTTATTAGGAGCCACCTGGCATTCTCAAATACAAGAAAGATTCGCCTGCACAGCCCTGTTAAAATGTAAACACATCAGCTACTGAACCTAAAAACAGTTTCAACGTGCTTTTGATAAACTTCAAGTACATTGTACTTAGCTGCTTCAAAACACCTCTTTGCATCGGCAGGTGTGGCTACATATAGTTCCCACGTACAGACCAGATGGCATGTTTGCTCACATCTAGGAAATCTGTCCAGCAACATTCTGGTCCAGAAAAATGCATACTCTACCTCTTCTGCCCTGGGACAAGCGATATGGCTCTGACCATAGGAGCCTACTGCAAGCTAGCAAAGCATTTAAATAGTTGGCGGAAGTGTTGAAAGGCACATAGTTTGTCCTTAGCAATGTTTCCCTGTTCTACCTGTGGTACCCATTGAGGAATCAGTGTTGGGACCTAGCTTGAAATAAAAAAAGAGTAAGAAAATGGAAGCCTGACAGGAAAAAAAAAAAAAAAAAAGGTTGCCTTTTTCTAATTTTTTTTTTAGCTTTAAGATTTTACTATTGCATGTTTTCCTCTGCCTTTCCAGTGAAAATTCAGGAAGCTATGGATGCATGTTAACCATACGCATGGATTTACTACTACTGGAATACCAAATGGTAGAGCTGCTGTAAACTGCTGCAAGTACTAAAAGCAATGCTTATAATGGCCTGTACAGCGTTTGCAAATATTTACTTGGAAAAAGAGATCAGCGTAGTTCTTAGGTTTCTCAGCATTGCTTAGAAACGCTAAAAAACTACAACAGCTAACTGCTACTCTACACCAGATCAATGTACCCCAACAGATATTTAGGAATATATGCCATTATATTTAAAAATACCAAGTTCCTCTAAGCTGGTAAACCTAGAAGATTTTACATAGAGATAAAATATTAAAAATTCTTGTTTCAACTCCACACTTGACATCTGAATAGGAGTAATGTAATCATACTATTTATTCCATCAATGAGACAAAATGTTGTATGGAACTAAATTTCTGAGATTTTTAAATAGAAAGTCATTTAACTCGTATATACACAAAGTGTTCTTTCCACAGATATTTACATGGCAAATATGTTAGAGGAGAACCACTATGACTAAGTCTCTACAAGTATAGCATCCTTTCTGAGCTATTCTCTCTGCTGAAAGAATTCACAGAAGCTTGGAAGTAAAATCTAGACAATTAAAGTTACCTATATTTCACAGTAGGTAAAGAAGCCATTAAATGATATTTCAGCATAAGGTTTCTGGAAACAGCTACACAGTAGAGTTTTACATCCACCCCTCTTTTCCAGTATTCATGGTGAAACTAATCTCTTCTTAATTTACAAGAGACAGAATGGCATACATAAAGATGGATGCGGATAAGTGTAGTTCATCCTCCTCGATAGAGGCTGGTCAGCCGTTCTAGTTCTTTGCAGTTGTCCATGGACATGGAATCTGCTTTCCTTCGGAGACGGTCATCTCGATACACTTTTGCTGCATAAAGTAAGTCTGTTTCTTTGAGGAAAAAAGAGAAAAGTTTTTTTTCAGGTTAAAACCTGAATACTTTGCACAGAATGCATTTCCTTCTCAAAGCTGTGTAAAACACCTCACATTTAATCCTCACCCTTTTCTCCTTCTATTTTGACTACACCACCCTAACAGCACTGCTACAGCTTCCCTTTGCTGGGCCTTCAGAAGCATTTCATCTTTTTGAGCAGAGAAAGTGGCAACAGCTTTCTAGCACCTGTGCATTTCATACAGCAGTATGTGATTAAAAAAAAACAACAACAAAAAATCCCCTACTACTACTTCAGACCTCATAAAACAATACAAATAAAGGTCACACTCAGTGATCTTGCATGTTATTGTCAGCTCTGGTGTCTTGTCTGTGCCCAAAAATCCATTCTCAATGTTAAGTCCATTACTTCAGCTGATGCTGCTTCAGACTGCCAGTGTTCAGAGGTATTAATAAAAGAACTCTCTGTATTATACTGGTGTTCAATAGCTTGACATTGTTAAGCATTTTAATTGTATAAAATCTTTTTTACCCCTTCAACTCACAATGGATTAGCAAGGCTTTCTTAAATGTCAATCAACACTGGAAAAATTGTAACTGTCAAGGAGATTCAACACACAACAGCTATTTTAAAGTCATAAACCCACAAAATCAGCTGTTCCTATAAATAGAGAAAATCTATTAGGAGCCTCTTACCAAAAATCAATTTGGGTAATAAGATAAATTGCAAGTAGCAAACAACATGGCAGTCACCACCTTCGGGTAATCTTTCTTCTTTATACTACGGTCAGATGCTTCTGTAGTCATCACATTTTTCTCTGTAAATATGTATATTATACAGAAGCGTGGGCCTCTCTGCATTGTCTGGGGCTGTTAATGCTTAAAAATCTAAGCATGTCACGAATAAAGGCTGAAAGATGGGAAAGGTATTCTTTCTCTCCCTCCCCAGGTGGAAACTGTGCATCAACTAAACCTTTTCAAAGATATTCAGACAGTAAATACATTACAGGAGACACAAATGTAACATGCCAGTAAATCTAGGTGTCATGACTAAGTCAGTGAAAGCAAACTATCCTTCCAGATCCATGCTCTGCTGTAAAAATGTACAAATCATATGTCCTCTTTTTATTTTTTGTGCTGGATTATATCTTTTTTTGTTTGTTAGTTAACAACCACGTCTCATTTTTGTTAACTATTTTATTATAAGACTACCAATCATTCATCTAGCAACCACCTGGAGATGAAAAACTAGGTATGAAAAGTGAACATATTCAAACATTTCAAGACGATCAAAGGACAAGCTAGTTGGAAAAATGCAAGTTTCTGGTATTTGCTTATGAATTATACTTAAAAGCTCTGATGATTTCCTGTGTTTGAAAAACCTGGAAAAAATTCTTCTCACCAAACCTAGTAGTCTGGGAAATAATCCAAAGTGTTTCCCCCAAAGCACTGGTGTTTCTCTTGCATACATGTGACCCATCAGCACAATTTTTTGCCCAGCAGGTCTTTCCTGGGCACAATTTGTAAAACTGTAGAGATTTACTTGTGCATAAGCAGTATGTACTCATGAGCAAGGAGTGTAAAATCTCCAGGAAGCATTGGGCCTGTTATGCAAAAGAATGCATGTAGTCTTGTTCATGTGACTAGCTGTGATGCCAGGTTGTTTTTTACAACTGGGAGAAACTGAGGGGCCATCTCAGCTAAAAGGCGTGGCATGACTGGACTGCAGAAAGTAAAGCTGTGCAGGAACACATGATTTCACTCAGAGCATTCTGTTTGATTCTGGTCAGTTTACTGACAATTCATGAATGAGTTTATCCAGTAAGTTATTACTGAGGCTTACTGCCTGAAAAGTTGAAACCATCTGGTTTTAACATTGACGTAATTTTAGCAGCACTGTTCTCATAGAGCATGAAAAGCTCACAAAATGAGCACAGATAATAGAATAACAGGTTAAAATTGATGTCGAAATCAAGGCTATTCAGAATTCTTATGCTTTAACACTGAATTCCAGGCTTCTGAAAGAAAATACCTCCTTGTATAATATGAAATTAGATTAAAAAACTAGATGGCAAACTAAAAAAAAATCCAACCATTTTAAGGTCTGATACAGCCAAGGTACCAAGTCCAGGGGGAAAAACTATTCAGCACTGGCAAAACATTAACCACTGATTTGCAGCTTATGAAGTTTAACAGGATGCACCATGTGTCACTGTGAAAAGCAGTGTTTGTATGTACTGTGGTTCCTCCTTCAGAAACATTTATGTAGGTGTGTCCTGTCCTTACAGCAATTTCTTTCTCATTATCAATTCACTGTAGTCTTTAATCTGTTGAGAACCGGTCACAGATAATAGAGTGGCAGGTTAAAATTGCTGATGATTTGCAGATGGTTGTTAGGTCACTGAGTAAAGCACAAAAAAATAAATGACACTGGGGACCCTTATGGAAGTGAGAAACAGCTTGATTTCTCATTAAAACATTTTAATAATACAAGCACTTCATTCTTGCCTGAGGCAGTAATTTCTTACAGTAATGCGTGATTTCATGAAAATACACATATTGCTAAACTTACTTTGTTGCCTCTCCTTCCAACAGTTATTACGAATATTGGACACATAATCCTCTTCCACACTCTTTTCCACTTTCTGTAATGACTCTCCTTTGTATTCATTTTTAAAGTCCTTGTTGACATAATAAATGACACGCAAGTTTTCCGTCTGCATTTTTATGGTCTGCCCTGTACTTCTGCAAAAAAGGAGAGATTGGGGAGAGAGAGACTAGATACTTATTTTATAGGCTTTTACACCACAAATAACACTTTTTTAAAAATACTGCTATTATAGAAGAAGAGCATGAAGAAGAGCATGTTACTGAATTTGTGATTTCAAGACAAGTAAAGAAATGAGCGGCTGCATAATTTGCCAGAGAATAAAAATTACTACATTTACCTGAACATTAAGGTTCTGCTGCTTAAACCCTTGATCTTGAAAAAGCCACATTAGTAAGACTCTTGTTTCTTGTTTAACAGAAGACTCTCTAAAACACTTCTAAGTGGGAGAGGCTGATTACAATAGCCTCCCTCTGTTTTAAGCTAATGTAATTGAGCATTACTTACGATCTTGGGTATAAGGCATAAGGAGGGTTAGATACCATCAACTGGCTCAACAAGGAGACAAGGATCAGTACAATAATAGGCATCAGCTGAATGAACATAGAGAAACCTCCCTAAGGAACAAAAGAGATTCAGGGATTTCATAAAACAGCATCAAGTAAACAGATTTGACAAGATTTAATGCTAAGCATGACTTTCTGCTTTAAACATTAAGAACTGCTAGGCAAGCTACAACTGCAAACACTGTATCGTTATCTTAACTTTGTGATGCATACACAATATTCACAGTGCTCAAGCTGCAAGAATTCATGGGTTAGCTGGTAGCCACAGTTACCAACTGAAGAGTGTGATTCAGTTACATTCTATGCAACGATTTGGTCTCACCTATACAGTTGTATGTAATTATATAGGACTATATATAATTCGTATAGATGAATATCGAGCCTTAAATTCAATTCGTACCTCAGCCCAAATAAATGTTTAAATGTAGTCAAGGATTAGTGACCAGAACTAGTGGCATACTTAGGCTAATACCAGTCACTAGAAAGATACTGACATACAACAACAGATTTACAAAACCAGACTGTTATCTTCTCAAATTTGTATGTCTATTTACATTAAGTAGTACAACCTGCCAAAGTTTTAAAATAGGTAACCGGCAAGCACAAATTCTCCTCTGCAATACAGAGCTCCTGTGCAATCACATTGCTGAAAGTGAGTACCAGCAAATTTTCCAATCCATAGTTTAAAGTCAATGGTGCTTAAACATACATCACCCCTCTCTTCCTCCCTCTCATGTCCACTCTGACGGTGCTGATTAGGATGACTGTAGCCAGCACGACCATTAGAAAATGAATGTACACTACCTAAGGAAAGAAATATGCATATTTAAACCATGTAAAAAACCCAAAAACTAGAGGTCAATACACAAGCATCAACATAAACCACTTAGCATTGCTGCACAATGGCACATAAAATAGCTTTAAGATATCTTACAACTTCAAAGTGGTTTAAAATAAATATTTTAAGCTCTAAGACAACTGATTTTCTCATTTCATGTACTGCAGAATCACCATAGTAACCCCAAAGAACTGAAACTTGCATTTTGGGGATTTAGCATCACTTGCAGGAAAACCAAAATGTGATGCAAATTAAAGAATTGAGGTTGTAGGCAGGCTGGAGTAATTTTACTGTTTTACAGTACCACACACTCTAATGCCACTCTGGGGAGTACCACTGTATCACAATGATTATGCTGATGTATACAAATACCTGTTGGAAAGGCCCCTCCAAAAAACATGTTGAATAGATCCTCTGGGGTAATATCTGCCTCACAACCTCTATGGAAGTTGAATCTGCCGTTGCTAGGGTGACTGCATGTTTGCTCTTCACTGCCTGTAAGGTCATACTGCTTTCGCTTTTCTGGATTACTCAGCACAGCATACGCGTTTCCAATTTCTGAAACAAGGAATAAAAGACAACTCCCATAAATGAAAGATATGAGCTATTCCAGCATGAAAATTGCAATTTCAAAGTCAGGAATAGGCAGAGAATGATGTCTTTTACTGTATGTTACAATTCAACTATAGTAGAACATGGTCCAGAAACATCTCTACTTTTCTTAGCATAGCTTCCACAGAGTTTCCCACCAACGCCATTCAAAGCCTTTTATCCTGTTGAACTAGGCAGAAGGCAGGAGAGCTTTGTTTCTTTTTCTAGGGAAACACCTACACTTGTGGAAATGTTCTCGCTCACTGCAATTACTAAAAAAGCATCCCGCATTACAATGAGAGCTTTAAAGCTGGGTAATTGCAAAGTTCAGTTTGCTCTAGCAGCCTAGCTTAAAAACATCATGGACTCAGTAGGTTTTCTTTGGTTTCCTTTGGTTAAGTGGTGTCTTTTCTGAATGCATCAACTTTATTATCTACAAGAGTATTAATGTATTTTTCCGTGTTCTTCTTAAGATATTTTACAGATTACATTAATAACACAACATTTTGCATGATGTAACACGCATGCACAGCAGGAACATGTGTGCTCCTAAGGTTGTCAGTATGACCTCAATGTTTGCAGCATCTGGCCTGGATGCTTGCCCCCAATTATGCTACATTATCAGAAATGGGCAACTTCGACAGTAGAAAAGGAAAAACTGAGTTAGGTGAGCACGGACAGAATCAGTGTGAAAAATCACAAGCTCTGCTGACTTTCCAAACTTCAACCCTAGTTGCTGTGCACAGACATACAGCTCTTGCAGACTGAAGGAAAATCTCTGCTGGCACTCAAGGAACAATCTTCACTCAGTCTTATCTTCATTAAACCTTTCCGCTTTCCTGTCTCCTCTCTCTTCCAGGCTGCTCCAACAAAAGGCTTCTTTTGCAGCCAGCCAATGCAAGGCACAGGGATTGGTTTTCAGTGTTGAGAAGCCATCAGTCATCAACATTTCGAGAGAGGTGCGGCACTACAACCTCAACACGTGCAAATAAGGACTATGACTTTGCATAATTACTGTTTTCAACGTTATCCAATTGGGAAAAAGAAAGGAATTTAATGAATCTTAACTATGTGCCTTTTAAGATGCCCTTAGAAATAATCATTAGTAATTCCTTTAAATGGAGGAGAAAACCCAAAGAAATTAAGCTTGGTAATGTACACTGAGAGCATAATACACACTACTGACACCAAATATTGCTGCAAGGTTCCTCTTGTATCCTCTATTCAGCACAAGGATAACATTGGTAGTAAAAATCTATATTTTCTCAAGAGTTAAGAATTTAGGGAGACATAAATGAGGTGACTGCAGCTAAAGAGAAGACAGCATACTGTCACAGTATGGTCAGCATAATTCACAACAGATTTGATTCAAAGATAATTTTCTTTAAATAAAAGACTTAAAAAAAAAAAAAAAAAAAAACCCACCCCAAACCCCAAAACCCCCTAACTGCTCAAAAGTTTCAAAATAAAGCTTTTGGATGAAGTTGGTGAAAAAGATTCCAAGAGATTAAAAGTGAATCCAGGAGATTAAAAGTGACTACATTTGCACAAATTTCTTAATCTGAAATACAATTTTAGGGAGACCGTTCTATACAAGAGAAGAGCTGTACTATGTAGCTCAAGATCTGAGTACCTTGCCTAACATCAAACTCCGTTCTCTAATGTGGCCTTTCAATAAATAATGCATTATTATAAAATAATAGCTATTATTGTGAAACTCCTTTTCTCAGCTGGATGTTAGAAACTCATCAGACACTTTTAAAGGCAAACCTAAACAATAAATTTACTCAGCCATACAAAAAAGGCTACAATCATTTCGAAGCAAGAAAAATGCTACCTTTTATTAAGTTATTTTTAGTCAACAAGATTCCCCTACAAAATGGTCTGTTCACTCATCTAGTTAAGAACCAGAAAATGAAATTAAACTGAAGACATGAAACTTGTAGAAAGCACTAATGTTAAACAAAAGATTAAATAATAAGAAACTGATTTCTAGCATTTCAAAGGTTATTTAAAATGCTATTAACAAAGAAGAATTATTTTACTCATAGGGCTGGAGTCAATTTTATAAGAATGACACTTTTTATTTTAGATAAAGCCATCATGTAGCTGCATTAAAATAATCATTAACCATCAACCTTCCTGCTATAGTCTAGCCAATTGTCATCTGGAATTGTTAGTATATTATTACCTCTTAAATTACTTCTGTGTCAGAAGTGTTACTCAACAGGACATTTTTTTTTTCTTTTTTTCCCTTCCCAAATTTAAATCCGATCCATTTTTTCAAATGTCTGCATGTAAACCTCGCACAGGAAAAAAATAAAATAGATGTACCACAATCATATTGTTTGTTTATGCATGATCATTTCTCACACATTCACATTTTTCTTCATCTCTGTCTGAGATGAAGGTGTACTTTTCCTTAAAAAGCTTTTCCTCAGCAATTTCCCTTGTGCAGGGCTAACAACAGGTCAAGTCAGACTAAATTCTACCTGAAATAGTCAAAGGCAACTGTTAATAAGGCCATGTTTGAACCCAAGTGCTTCTGTGTGGAAAAAGTAGTAAAACTACATACAAACAAGGAGTTCTAAGGAAAAGGTAACAGTGTGGCACATGAGTCAGTAAAAACTGCATTTTGCTGTCAGATACTGCTTTGCTTTTTTCAGGCTCAAGTAAAGATTTAAGACAGTAAGATTCAATTGACTACATTAAGTCAACAACAGTAAAAAAGTGCAAGCGGTTTCACAGATCAAGTATTCACTCCTTGTACCTGATAATTAGAGATAATCTTCTGAAACCGAACCCTACTGCAAAAGCCCACATAATTTATCTATACTGCTAGGCATATGTTAGGACAATAAAGATCAAGTAGGTTCTTGGATAAAAATGTCAGTTTAATATTAGGTACAGAACACCATACTGACAATTTTGTAAAGACAAGTGACCAATGCAGATGAATTTCTGTTCATCTGACACAGCTTAATCACAAAAGAAATCTGAAGTGAAAAAGGGTTTTTACTTTTAAAAGCCTCTGTTGCTCCAGGTGCATCGTTTTTGTCTGGGTGGAATTTCAAAGCAAGTTTTCTATAAGCCTTCTTTAGGTCTTCTTCACCCGCATCCTTTGACACCCCAAGGACTTCATAATAGTTTTTACATTTCTTTATACTGCAAAAGGAAATGAAGTAAAACATTGTAAACAAAAAGATGTAAAAGTACTGCGTTAGGACACGGCTGCAAATGAGGTAATCCATTACACTGATGCAATACATTACATGTCTCACTTTCAATATAAAATTTATTTAAAAATCCACTCCAGAAACAAAGAACGGCATTTTTCATAATAAACTCACCACTGAGCACAACAAACGCTCATACTCAAAATTACTTACTATGTACATTTATTTTACTACTTCTACTGTAGAACGACTAGAGTTGTAAGAAATTGTTCCAGTTTGCAATTACTGTAGCATTTCCTCATCCCCAATTTATTTGAATATTGATGTTAATAATGCGTAAAATGAAGATTCCAAACTTATTCACAGAGCTAGTGGGTAGGAAGGCCTGTTATGACTGTCAACAGCAAATGCTCTCTGGTATGCAAGATTTAAACCAAAACAAACAATACCTCCCTTTCTCCAAATAAAAGTCAAGTTGTAACACTGTTCAAGCATTCACTTTTCAGGGAAATACGGCATATGAGAATACCTCTGCTGCTGGGAATACACCTGGATCTTAAGCTTTCTGCAAGTATTTATGTAAGTTCATAGAAACAATAACAGCTTCAGCAATTGCAAATTCATCTCATCTCATATGTTCAATGCAGCTTTATTTAAACACGGAAATATTCTTCCTGTAGGCCGTCTCACTCAGACAGGAAAAGCAAAACCTGGAAATGATGTAATGATTCGGTAGGCTTTACAATACCCAGAAGAGAGAAAGAGCAGTTACAGAGAGCAGAGAGAACATTAATTCTGTGTGGGCAGGAAGAACTACCGAATCAATAAATACAACTTAAAACCTAAGTTACTCGGATAAGGATTCAGAAAATAAGGCTAAATCACAAACTTGCATTGCAGAAATGAGGCACATTGACATTTGGTGCATACCAAAAGAGAAGGCTCGTCCAAGCAAGAAATATAAATTACATCCATAAATACTTTAAAAGCTTTGTGTGAGACTCTTCATATGGCTGTAACTGTGTCCACATTCTCTTAAATAGATGGATTTCTACGTAAATATGGGTTTAGTGTTGCAAAGACTAGACACAGGGCAGCCAAGCAGAAAAAGGGGAAAGTAAACCTCTGGCATTTTCATGAAAGAAGAATGGGTACCCTGTAATTAAGGGAATGCTAGCATCAGAAGTACAACTACGCCGTCGTGTGTGTCCTTCATAGTTCACAGATTGATCAAATCAAGTTTCATGTGAGGGATCTCTTTTCCTGTGTTCAAATAACACAAACTTTTGTGGAAGTCTTGGTGTAATGCTCACAAGAGCACTGCACTGAATGCATGCAGGCAGCTGCCAACACAAATATCCAGTCACATAAATACAGTTCATTATATTGAACTAACATTTAGTAAGTTCAGGAAGCCGATAAAGCTAACTAAAATGAACACATCATCAATAAAGAGTGGAAAGAAAATACATTAAATTCTACTATGAGTACTAGAAACTTTTGTTTGTTCATTTGTTCATTCATTCACAAGAAATGTACTGTAAAGATCCCTTCATCAGCCTCAAGACCTAGATCACTTATGAACTGTAGCAAGAAAACACATTTTTATTTAAAGTGTAACACTATCAAATTAAGCTTTTATTCCAAGAAATTGTTATCTCAGCATCCCATCTAAGTTCTTCTCTTCAATAATTCAGTATCTGAATTATCTTTTGTGGACCAGACTCTTCAGAACTTTGGTTGATATAAAATTAGGTGATGAGTCAATGTTTAGCAAAGTTACTTTATTATCAGGAAAACTGCAGTGAACATTTGTTCAAGTGTATTAAGCACCATGTGTTCTCAACAACTTTTTCTCCCAATAGTGTATGGCCATTTTTTCATGGAAGTAACAAACCTCACCTCCCCAAATCCAAACATGAAAGCATACTTCTTTGCAGAACCTATATGCATTTATTTCACAACTCTAGGATGCAGAGAGGAGAAAAGTGGAAAAAAAAAACAAAAAACCAGAAACATCCAAGAAATACCAACCTGTTTTCCAACCCCCAAAAACTCACTTTGTCTTTCTCCCATTCACAACCAGTGAAAATCCCACAGTGGGAAACTCTTATTGGAAAAGCAGGAATGGTCAGAATATGTTCAGGTCAGTGTGTGACCAGCTTCCGACACCACAGTCTGCCTAGAGCCAGTGTATCAAACCAGAGCTACTCCTTGATGAGAAAGCACAGAGAGAAACCTGCCTTGTGGGTCAAATGGCACTTGCCCTTCAAAGGGATGAATGCTATCACCCTCCATGCAACAACTATCCTGAACCTGCTTCACAAATGAGCTATTTTTCACTGAGAAAAAGTGTTCAGCCAAGGTGTAACACATCTCAATTGTCTCTTAGCAAGTCTTTGCTGGTGACTGCTTTGTTAAACAAGACAATCTACAAATACACAAGCATCGCCATCGTAAAGTTCCCGATTTCATATGCAGCTACAATTTAATATTTCAAGCACATCTTATATCAAATTACCCTCATATCCTGACCTGCTACCCCAGGCTAAATGGCCAGGCTCAAACAAACCTTTGTGAATTTGTGACAGCCACCCCTGACTATTTATTCTCCCTTGTGTGTTCCTGTCAGGATACGCACACTCACAGCAACACTGCCTACAGCAGATCTGTAATGGATCCTCCAGATCATTTACGCTGCCCTCCCTTCTACTGCACAGGACCAACACTGAGATACTTAACCCCTGTTCAGTGTTTAGCCTGTTGTCATCTTCAGATCTCAACCAAGTGAGTGCTGGCTCTAACGATCCTCAGCTGCAAACATAAGCTGCTAGTACTTTGCTGGATAGCCTGAGAAGCATGTGACTTCATGACAAGTCATGTGGAATACGCATATATGTGTGGTAATTTTGCACAGTTTAGCAGGACTTTGGATTAGGCAGATCAAGCTTCAAAACTGGAATACATTAAATGATTGCATAAATATATAGGGGCCAAACCCCCTACCTAAGGTTGGAATTCTCAGCAGTGACCCTGTGCTATGAAGCCCTTGCTACACTCTGCTATTAGACAAGAGTTTTATAACCATTGCTTTGCCATTTCAAGGCAAAAGGCATCTGGACCGTAAGTAGCTAGTAACTAGTTAATGCAAAGTTTTCTACAGGGAGGGAGTCAATGACTTCTGCCAGGAGGTCCCCTACTGAGCACAATTCAGGGCAATCATTACAAGGTAATGGCTCGCTTTTTCAGACAAGTCCATGTGAGTTATGCACCAAAACTTGTATGACAGTAGCTCTGCACTAAGGATGATGAGACAACCAAAAACATTTAGAAGGTGCTTTCCAATTAAAGTTATCAGTGTTTGTGATGCTCTCCTGAGAGGCAAAACTAACACACCACAAACTCAACTTGGTCAGTCTGTTTACAGCAGGACAACTGCATGGGATTACCAGGGCAATCCAGGTTTTACGTGTGCTGTGCAGTCATCAAGCTTCTCAAACACTGTTGGAGCACACAGCCCACCCCATCAGTGCCTGACATGCCACATACCTCCTCCACCTTAAAGAGATGAAGATCATGGGCTTCACACAAAGACTCTCCAAGACTTAAGTCCTCTTCCCCCTAACTGCCACTGTCCTGATGATAAATTTCTCTCCGGCTGCTGGGAGCCTTTGGAAGCTATGGCCAACCTGACCCTTGTCCCTCAGCAGAGGCAGGCCTTTTTGGATGTATTTCCCAACCCCTATCTCCAGTAAACTCCAGATATCTGACAATCATCACACTGCCAGAATTCCTCACCTGGAGCACTGAACAGTCCTGTGGAGATCTGTCACAGGACAGATGGACAGAAGTAACCATCCCCTTCACATATGTCTTCTGTTGCAGGCTACACAACATTAGCCAGCAGAGGCTGGAAAAGATGAAAACCAGTGGAGGCTTTGGAAAAGTCTGACCATCGATGTTATTTATGGCTTTAACTGCATCCAAACCCCCTGTCCTGCAGCACTCTCAGCATGAATAACTAACTAACTTTCTGAAAGCTGCATTTCAAATTGTTGCTTGCTTGCTTGCTTGGTTTTGCTGTACTTAAGGCACTATAGTCCCTAGTGCTAATTTTCTTGCACATGAACATTTCTCCATACTAATGTTTCTTTTTAAACTTGCAATTTATCACTTGCTTATTGACTGCTCCTTTTGTACTGAACTGTTTGGGGGTTTTTTTTGTTATTTCTGGCTTATTTGGTGTTTTCACTGTTAATTTGTTTGAGGTTTTGTTTTTTTTTTGTGAATTGCTTTTCTTGTATTTTTCATTCCTGGTTGGATCACTTCTGCATCTGAATTACTATGAAATTATTTCTTTTGTTTGGTTAATTTCTGTCCTTGCTGAAGTTTAGTCCCCTACCAGCACCTTGGCACTGTCCTGGTTAACAGATTTGTTGGCTGATTTAGGAGGGCATGTTGCTGGATGTTCCTGAAATAATACCTGGCTTTTACAGAATAGACTTCTCAAACACCATGAAGGCAAGTGATGGCTAACAATCACCCACAATCTGCTGACAGGGGAGTCTTGCTGTGACTTGCAAAGCTCCACTATCTCAAGTTGTAGCTGACAAGCCACCTGCAGTAGAACTGGTCAGCCAGTTTCAGACCATAGCAACAGCCAGTTCTGCCTGAAACTGGATTCCTCTTCATGCTCTGATGGCTGAAGGCAGAGGAAGTCCTCCAGGAACTGAAATGCCTGCTCTCACCTGCAGAAACTCTGTGGCTACCACCACTGGTTCTCCTGTGACTACAATATGATGCGATCCTACTGCTGTGCTTCTTGTTTCACTTTTCAAATCTACAATTCAGATTAGGTCAGCATCGACAGCTTCTATCAGATTAACAAAACCTACCAGAGATGCTTGCATTTCTATATCAAATACCTGCAGTGACCCATGATCACTAAGTTTTAGTATGACTAGGTATTTTGAAGGGCCTTCCAAAGCTTTTGTCTATAAGCACAAGGATGGACAAAAAGACAAATACTTCAACCACTATCTCCAAAAGCTTGCAATGGGAGCCACAATTATTTCTCCCAATGGTAATCTGACCTGAGTAGCACAGTGAGCAGCAATGTGAAAGTTAGTAACAAAGGACTGCACAAGAGGAAGCTACATTGACTTCTGATCCCAGACGAGCAGAAAACCACAGTAAAATGCAGACCAGTTTCTACATGGGTCAAGTTTCCAGTAATGCCAGACAGCCTGATGCAAATGGCATCTTGCAGCTGAATTAAGAATGTCCCAGTCATCATTCTACTAATAACAGTTATCTTTTAGATGTCAAAAAGGTAATATGGAACATATGATACAGATTATTTACTAAAAAGGAGACATGAGATACCATATGAATGTTAATATAATTTAAAGGAAGCCTGTATAAAGTGTATGACTTGTACATGTGTCTGAATTTATTTTTAATAATGTGGGAGACAACAGATAATACACACTTCACAGCATAAAAAGAAATGGGAAAGATTAGTACACAGCAGGCAAATGATCCTTTTTTTACTGTCATGCTAGTCCACAAAAAGGGTCTGCACATGTGGTGTAAGTAGGCAGACATGAAGAGAATTTGTCTGAAAGTAATGAAGAGCTCTGACAACTGTAATTCTGATCAGCACTTCATTTGTTTTAAGTGAACTAGAAGAACAAGTTAGTTTTCTTTCTTACACAGATGTTTCATTTCCTTATCTCAGCAAAAGATGCCAATAACCTACATCAAATAGTGAAGGAATTGCTTTACAGTAAAGAGCTCAGAATACAAAGCAAATTCTCCCTTTTTTGTTGTGCACATGATGCAAAGTTTATATTGCTCAGACAGCTTTCAATTGGCTCGTGACTCCTGGGGCACTAATTCTAAAAAAGACATAAGTCTGCTGTGGGTCCTAACATATTTCTGCTAGTCTCCTGTCAGCATCTCTGATAAGCAGGTCACCTAAAGTGTTAACGCAACTTGATCCAGCCCTCAGTGACAAGATAAACATCTTTAAGAAAAAAAAAAAAAAATGCACATACTACAGATGGTATTTTCAAAGCATTTCAATTCAGAAGTAACAAAGTGGTCTGGGGTATCTCATGCTTCAAATTATCACACTGAAAGAGTGAACACTGTTTCCACAAAGAACAGAGCATCGCCCAGCACTTATGCAATCAGTGGAAAGATATTGCATCTTATGCTTTTCCCAGTCGAGCAACTTGTTTGCAAGCTCATGTAATGCTCCACAGAAGCGTTACAGTAGCTTGCTAGTGATCAGCATCCCCTGTGTATGCGCAAAAAATAAAACCAGCACAGAGGTGCTTGGCTGTTCTCATACCTACTCACATTACTAGAGTAACTCTGACGAAAATTAATGCAGTTACATCAGTTACGGCTCTAAGCATGTCTTCACTATGCTTAAACCTATTGTTACAAGCAAATTCAAGATAGCTGGACAATTCCAGGAACAATAATCAGTGATCCAAGTGAGAGAGAGCTAAAAGTCTGTCCCTTTGTCCAATTGCTCACTAAAGCTTATACAGAAAAAGCACTGGAAATGGCATGTATAGTTAAATCAGGAATGCCTTCTCTCAGTCTATATTATTAAGTTCCACTATTAACACAGAACCAGAACTCGTAGAGGGAAGGATACTTGAGGATAATGACCACCTTTCGAATCATAAGCATACAAAACAACTGTTTGACAAAGTCAAACACATGGGAAAATACAGAATTTATTAAAAAATGAAGATATGCTACTTTGCTATCTAGAAATTTCTTTCCTTACAGGGAAAGAAAAATAAAAAGCATGAAATATTATTTAAAACCAACTCTTCACACACATTTCTTTACCTAATTCAAAGGTGCCCTGGTTTCAGCTGGGGTAGAATTATTTTTCTTCCTAGTAGCTGGTGCAGTGCTGTGGTTTTTTGGATTTAGCCTGAGAACAATGCTGGTAACACACCAAGGTTTTAGTTGTTGCCAAGTAGCGCTTACCATGATCAAGCCCATTTCAGTCTCTCATGCTCTACCAGTGAGGAGGCGTACAGGAAGCTGGGAGGGAATACAGCCTGACCTTAACTAACCAAAAGGGTATTCCATACCACAGCACATTCATGCCCAGTACATAAAACAGGGAGGATTTGGCCAGGAGGGACAGGCCTGGCATCAGTCAGCTGGTGGTGAGCGACTGTGTTGTGCACCAGTTGTTCTTGAGTTTTCATTCTTCTCTTTCTGTTGTCTTCCTCTTCATTACAATTATTATAATAGTATTATTATTACATTTTATTTCAATTATTAAATTGCTCTTATCTCAACCTGTGGGGTGTACCTTTTTTCCCCCCTTGCTTCTCCCTCCCTATCCCACCTGGGGGGCAGGGGTATGAGCGAGTGGCTGCGTGCTACTTAGTTGCTGGCAGGGGTTAAGCCACAACAAAACATCTGAAAACCATTCCACAGTGATATGGCAGAAGCATATGGTGGTGACAAGCTCTGCCCTCTGAAGAACAGCCTCCCCAGAGAGGCATGTTTCATTTAATTGCAAAAGTCTGGGGCCTGACTAAAACAATAACATATACAGCCTGATATGTTTCCAATTAGGAAGCTAATTCTCACTGTGGTTTAAACATAAGCTTTCCCTCAGCTATCATCACTACATGTACTATATTTTTCCATTAAGTTTTAGCCCACTGTTTGAATGTAATCCTGTTCTCCTTGGCAAGGCACACACGTTTGTTAATTCTTAACCATAAATTTTCTAAGTGGTGTGTTGATGTCACAAGAACTGGAGACTTGCTCTGCTGATCACTGCATATCTAACCCAAAATTCAGTTTCTCTCCAAAGGTTTATAAACTGCTATTAGGTATATAGCATCATTCAAGGATAGTAGCATCATTCAAGCTAAGGTCAAAATTCTGGTTTAACAGCTGATTTTTAAGTTGGATATAAAATACAAATAAACATGAGTTGTTATGTAAGCTATTACAATTGCTCAACTGAAATATCTGGGAAGATTTTAAACCCCCAAATTTAATATTCACAAAGCAGCTTCTTGAAATAGGTATTAAGAACCAATGTTGCATCAAGATTATCCTTAATGTGCAACTTCTGCAAATGCCCTTAACTCTGGTTCTGATCTCAGCAAACTGGATTAATTTTATCTGGTATCTAGTGAATTCCTTCAAGGAAGCAATACCCAGCACCATGAAAGCATACGAGGGAGAAACGTTGGCTCGACAACACCATTTTGCTCAAGACAAAGCAGGCAACATGCTTTCTGTTACAACAAAGAAACAAACAAAAAAAAGAACTTGAAGAAAGTCTGATGTCAAAGCAGACTGCAGCTCAGATGGGTATGTCACATATGAGTGAATCCTTCCAGGAATATAGTCTTCCTTGTAGCACCTTTCTGAGACTGTGCTACATGTCTTAGTTTGATCTCTCATTTCACAGATGACTTCTTTCTGGGTATTTTGTCTCACATGCATGTATGCACACATACATACACACACTTTGCACTCATTTTAACAGGTAATCTTTGAAAGTGGCAAAAAAAACACATGCTTATTCAGGTTTTACTTTACATGTGTCACAAAGGGTAATAACATTAATCAAGCAGAGATGATGGTAAATGAAAAGCTCTAGTAAGTAATAACACCAAGTGTATAGCCATGCCAGAGATACTGCTTTCTACCTGCCTGAATGCAGAGCAGAGCTGCTGTATCAACAAAGCAAAGCTACTTTTCTTCCTCACTGTTAGCACAGCTGAACACATTATTGAACTTCAGGAAAAAGATCCCAAGATAGTATCAACTGCAACATACATTTCACATGCAAACCACACACAAATTTCCATTTTGCACAACAGTTCATCCAATCTACACAAATTAGGAGATAAGGACCTTTTGACCTCCCTTCTTCGGGCTCTCTTGAAAATATCTAGGCTAAGCTTACATGAAAATACAAATGGGTTTTGATGTGTGCAATTTTAGAGTGGCTGTATACATATTTCTTTAGCAGAAATCAGAGCACATACCAACCCACATTCTTCTCACTCCTACAGCCAATAAGTGTGTAATGATAACATGACTTAAGAGTTACTTGCCTCAGAAGGACATTTCTATTTATCTTTCTTTCTTTTTGCACATCCTCCTTTCCTAATGTTACCCAATCTTAATACTATCATGCTACATGAAGTCCATGCGGATATTATAATGCAACTCAGACTATGGGCTTCAGCACTTCTTAGGTGCCTGCACTTCCAGAATGAAACAGTTTTAACACTCATTTAAGACCAGCTTGTACAGAAAATAAACATTAAGAGTGAGCATGTATATTGAGCATAAAAACATTTAAGAACAGAAAAATTGTCCTGCAATTTTCATCACTTCTTCCATTTACCATTAGATCGACTTACTAAGTATTTTGAGTATTACCTTTATATAAAGTAACCTTGGTGGTTTAAAAGGAAAAATATCATCTTTCTCACAGAAAGTGACAATGTCTCACATTGTGTTTAACTGCAGCACAACTCTCCTCTTCCTTTTAGGCGCAGTTCAGTACAAGTAACCCCTTGCACCTAACCTTGATTTTTTTTTAATTGCTTCTTAGATGCTAGAGCTGAAAGCATAAGTACAGAATACACAGAATGAAAAAACAGCGATTTAAGCAAGGCCATACCTGTATACTCCTTCCATTTGGTCTGCAGTATAGCTTTTTCCACTTTCTCCTGCTGCAGATGCATTGTTCTCCTTCGTGTTACTGGGCTTACTTTGATCATTGCTACTGGCTGGTTTTTGGCAGTAAGCGCCTCCCCCAGCAGTACTTCCATTCTTTGTAATAGCTTCCAACAAAACTGTAAAACAACAGTATATCATAGTATCATTATAGGCATTAGAGATTAAGTTAGGGCTCTCAAGTATCTTAAATGGGAGCACCACAATTATAGAAGACTAGCTGCTACAACCTGTTTTCTTATTGATCATCACTTTGTACCATAAACCTTTCTGAAGCCAGTCTAGCAACATCTTTTTGTAGCAAAACTATGGAAAAAATGTTTCAAAATTAGTGACTGGACTCCCCTCCACCTCTGCCAAGGTAATTTAATACTGTAAAGTATTTGTCCAGGTCCTTCATTTCTAGATGGGTTTTAGAGGCACTGAACCCAAGCTTTAGGGTGAAAATACCAGAATACCTGAATAAGCAACTGAGGAATATTATTCCTCAATAAATAGGAACTAACCTAACACTCTAAAGAACCTGCAAATTATTCCACACAGATACCAAGCCCATCTCCAGCACGTTTCAGTTGCTACATACATACGTATTTGTAACATAAGCCATTAGTGGCCACAAACTGATGCTCTATATCCCTTCCACACAATATCAACTGAAATTCAAGCTACTGTTACAGGTACGTCAGCACCAGCCAGCTACACTCAACTCCAAGACCTGAATCTTGAAAATTAGCATGCTTTTGCTAGATCCTCTTTGAAATCCTCTTTCCTCCCACGTTCCAACAAGTCTCAAGTTTAGCAATTTAATAAATCATCATACACTAAGTCTTCTTTTTCTTTCTGGATATAAGTGTGTATCTTGGAAGTATCTGTTTTACCAATAAATCAGAAACAGTACTATTCTAACCTAAGGGACTGCACACAAAGCATAATGTAGATCAAAGACTATTAAATAGTTTATCTTTCCTGAAAAGAGATCCCTTCAGAGCAAGATGGCAAACTACATAGTCCAAGTTTGTTTCATAAACTGGGAGTTACTACCTGCAGAAAAAAATGCCATAATAAAAATTCCCCCAAAAAAGTCCCACTCACTGTGAAAGCATGTTATAGTTTCATTGTTATAAAAATATTTCCTTTTAGAAACTAGTGAGATGAACCCTGAAGGATTTTCTCCTAAAACTAATCTTAAAATGTCTCCTTTGATTAGCAAGGTCTCTCTTGAAGCAGCACAAAACTGGGATCCTACACATCATAGCTTGTATCTCTTGGAAGCACAGGAAAGAGAAGAAAGCAGAGCTTTGTTTAAAAGGAAAACCACCGCTTCCCTGAGATGGTCTCTTTAAAACCCTTCCATTATTTGTTTTACTTATTAATTCACTTATTACCCACTGGGCACAGCAGCCTGACGTACTGTGACTGAATAGCTACACCCAGACTAAACAAAGAGTCAGTTGACTTGAGTGCTGGCCCTGGACTTACGCATGCCTCTGCAAGACTCATCAGTCGATCGGATCAGGCTTTTTACTGCAGAAATAAAGAAACAACTAACATTTAGATGCCGAGTTGTATACCGAGGGGATGTTTTCACTGCAAATGAAGCGAGGTTCTTGAAAACAGGAAAGCTGTAGTGGCATTATGGATTGTAACTGAAGCAGTTATCCAAATATCTGCAATAGTTTATTCTAATATAATCTGTTACAGCATTTAAGGTTCTGCAGTAAATGAAGAACTCCAATAAGGTGACTATGTCTGCACACTAAGAAGTAATCAAGAAGAGAGATTTGCACAGACAGTGCCCTGAGAATGAAGCATTTTCTGTCTGAATATCCTTTTTTTTTCCTATCCAATAACAGTATCACGTGGGATCATACTGAACATGTGACCCTGACTTACCCTCTAGCAAAACTGTCAAGTAAGTGTTATTTCAAATCTGCCTTTATATTGGCTTTGCTTTAGAAATTCCCCATCCCTACAGTAATGCTCATGCCAAATCAGTAAGAGATAACGGTAGAAATGCAGGTATAGACAATGGTTTGCATTTTTAACACCCAGTGTCTCTTCACAGCATGTTTAGCTGGTCTTTTCATTAACTGGTTTAGCTGCACTATACTTTCAACATCACTGCTTCCTAATCACCTCGGACCTCTCATCCTCATAATGGAGCTGCATTGCTGAGAGGACAATGCAGCATGCTTGCAAAAAATAATAAAACAAATCCAAAACCTTAAGTATTAACTTCTTAAAATAGCAGGACACAGCACATACAAACATGCTATTGTTCTACACTGAAAAAGAAAACTGTACAAAGGGTCTGGGGCCATTGTTTTCTTCAAACAAAAGATACAGTTCAGATATTCAAACTTTTTTTGACTCTTCTGTGAACTGCTGGTGGTAAAACCACTGCTGGAACTGCAGTCCTAACAGTGCGTTAAAGAAAACTTTCACTGTGCATTTAGGTATTTAAAACTAGGACATACAAGGAACCAAAGACTTATTTTGTTAGCAGGTAAGACAATGAATCTTATCTCCAGTGTGTCTGAAGGCTCTCTTGTGTGTACTGTTACCTGCTGCTGAATGAAAGATCCTTGCACTGCATTTGATTCCATTATGCATTGAACATGACCCCCACTTTGACTAATGGAAGAACTGTTTAATTCAGAATTCGTACTAATGCAACATTCTGAAAAACTATGCTCACATACTCCTAAAGAGTTTGGGCTTTAAAGGCAGCATCAGAAATAGTCAAAGAAAATTTTTAGCAGCACTGAAAAATAAAGTTGTCCTTAATATAATTTTCTGCCTTCAACTCCAAACAGAATGGCACCTAAGCTTAAGAAGATCTTCTCCTTTATTATCTTTAAATCAATTCTTTCTTTTTTTTTTCCAGTCAAGCAACTAGTTTCCACTCAGCTGCAAGATGGATCATTAGCAAAACCCATAATCAAGCAACGTTTTGAATTGTAAAACCATTTTCTAGCAAAGTGACATCAACATGACCACTGCTACTATGAAGTCATTAGCTAAGTATCATTAAATAAGCATTGACCTTACATTACACTATTAAAGCCTTAAAATAGCACTGCTGCAGTCAGCGTATTTCAGACAGAAGCTCTGTTTAGCAAACTAAACTACACTGATAACTGAACTAGTGCTGAACGCACTTTAAATACAAATGTCACCAAAACCAAACCACACACGGTATTGTTTTAGAGACAACAGTTAAAACCTATTTTCTGTCCTTTTATAACCTGCCATAACATCAGGAGGAAAAAGCATCAGTAAAAGATTCAGTGCTACCATTCTCTCTGCTTTTATCACTGATGGAACATCAGTTGTGAAAGGGTGGGCAATTGTTCTCAAAGTGATATTAAAAGCTACAACCTATGAAGAATCTGTGACTTCAGTGAGAAATTGGTATTAACTACCTTCTAATACATACCCCAGAGAGAAAGTAAGCAGGTGCAGTGACAACTGGGGCTGCACCATACTGTCCTATCACCATGCAAACCGAAAACATTATGACTGTAAATTAAGAATCTGTGTTAGAACCAAAACCTTAATTGTTTCCTTCTCTCTGGTATATGCTATGACACATTTTTAATTATCTGAATCATGCAATATTGTTTCCTTTCCCCACTGCTTAATTTATCTAAAACCCAACAATGATATAACAAACCAGTAATTTCATTTGCTCTTAGTCAGTGTAAAATGCCAGTTCTAACTTATTGCACACCTTCTAGTGCTGAAAAGAGGACATTCTGTGTCCTTGAAGCTTACTGCACTTTTAACAGGGCTATTTAAGTGCCTTGAGAACCTGGGGGTGGGGAATCAATGAGTTGGTGTTGTTCTGGGAGGAAATGGGATCAGTTGAAAAGAACTATCAACCTCCACAGCTAGAAAACTGAAGCACCCCTAATTTCTAAGTACCTAGTTCAAATCAGGCCTAGGGTCTGATTTTTTTTTTTTCAGTGGTATTAGGGCATCTGCAATTCTCATTAGCTTCAGATGGAGCTTTAACTGCCCGTCAGTTCCACAAACCAGGCCCTGGTTTCAAGCTGAGTATCTGAAAAATGAAGCAAAAACAATTAGCCATCTCTAATGGAAACTGAGTGAAGTGACTTAACATCAGAGAAATACTGTGAAGCATCTAGTTTCAGTACACAGTTCCCCAGATTATAGTCCACTACCTTAACCATAAGGCCATCTTCTTCTCACCAGACATACACCTCATTTGTGACACACTTTGCTAATTTCCACAGTGAATAAAACAAGCGTCCTACAGATAATAGCCTAATTAGCCATCTATTTCTTGCCCTGAATACTTTACAATAGTGGTTATGTAGAAGCAGCCCCACTTAAAAGGGGAAAAAAAAAAACAAACAACAACCAACAAACCCAAACACTCAAAACATAAATCAGTTGGAGATTTTCTTCTTTTTTCTGAAAGCTATTGTAACTCTTGGAGGTATAAAATGGTAACAAGCTATTTGCTGTCTTTGGTGGAAGAAGCTGGATTGAAAGCCTCAACCTTCCCCTCTCCTGCTTCCAAAAAAGCTGAAACTATTTTCATGCATATCATCTTCTCAAGCAGCAGAAATTTAGGGGAATCTAGCAAACTTCTGCTTGGTTTTCTTTCAGAGAGGTATGTAATGTGGCAAGAACATAAACAGTACTATGGTCTTGATCTAAAGGAATGGTTACCCTTCAGGTTATTTACCAGCAACATCCATCCTGTCTTGCAGGAGAGAAAAAATAAAGACACCCCAAAAATCTATACTATAAAAACCAAAAGCACTGATGAGACCTTTGTTTATTGTCTGCATAGAAGAAGTAGCTGGGAGATAAAGGAGGTCAGAAAAAGTCCACTGGATCTGCTCACCTGACTTAAAGGCTTTACTACAGAATAAAATACAGCAAGTAACACCTCCAACCAGAATTTCACCCCAAAGGCATGTTCCAAAAACGGTAAATGCTGAGGCCTTTAAGTCATTACAGAGCAATGAGTCTTTCCTGTTCCTTCCATGGCGTAGACAATGAGAACCAGAGGAATGCAACAAGTCGCTGCTGCATTCAAAGGACTTTCGAGCTGACTTCTGACACTATGTGACAGAAAAACTCCAAGACAAGTAACAGCTTTGTATACACTCAAATCCTACTGTTGTTCCTTTTAAAAAATAATTTCTAAAAACCTTTTGCTAGGCAGATAATTATGTGTCAAGTTTCAGCACAGAAGCGCCTGAAGAGCCAATGAAGTCATATGGAGAGCCACCTATCCTGTTTTCTCTAGGAAAGCTGAATGTGTGCACAATTCCTATGTAGCTACTGTACAAGAAAGAGAAACGAAAGTAAACGAGAGGATGAAGACATGCCCAGTCTGGAGCTGCAGTTCTTACTGCAAGCCGCTAGCTAGGGGTAATTCACAGTGACAGAAGAGAAGCCAGCCTAGCCTGTCTCAGACCGGGGCCTGAGCTGTTTAAGCAGAGTCTACGTGGCTATGCTAATACTGATGGCCAAAGGGAGAGGGGAATGCATGCGAGGGCTTGGGCAGGCCAGAAGGAGCCCTTTTGGCGAGGAGAGAGCTAGCCCCAGTGTCGTCCGTCCCCCCCCTCGCCTGACGCCAGAGCCGTGCATCAGCGGTGGAAATCCACATCCCTGAGCGCTCCTCCTGGGCACGTTAAGCATCACTTTAGCCTTTTTCCCCGCGCCTGACCCCCCAGCCCGGGCCGCTCTGGGGGCAGCGCCGGCCCCGCACAGAGGACGCGCGTGAGGAGCTCCCTCGCCTCAGCGACTCAGCGCCTCAGCCTTAGGTGGCTGCCGCGCAAGCTAACGGCTCCCTAGGGTGAGGAGACCTCCTCCATCCCCCTTCCTCCCGCCGTCCCTGCAGTTCCCCCTCCTCCCGATGGAACAGGGCAGCGGGAGAGGGAAGGAGGGGCGGCCGCGGAAACAGGGCCGAGCTTCACCTCGGGCAGTCTCAGTCGGGTACAGCTTCTGGGCCTTGCCGAGGAAGCGGAGAGCACGGTCACGGTTGCCGGCCTCCAGCGCCTCCCGCGCGATCCCGATGCACTTCTCGGCCTCGTCCCGGTTCCCCTCCATGGGCTTTTCCTTCCGCCGCCTCCGCCCGCCGCAGCGCAGAGAGAAGGGGCCTGAAGCCAGAGCGGAGCCGGGCGGAGCCGAGAAAAGAGAGGAGCGGAGAGGGCAGGAGTGCGGGCAGGGACTCCCCTCACTCCGCAAGGCTCATCCCGCCGCGCAACTCCGCGCCGGCGGTACCCGCAACCCCAGCGCGGCGCTCGGCCCCGGCACCCAGCCCGGCCCGCGCCTGCTTCCGGGAAGCCGCCGCGCATGCGCCACCTCGCGGGCCCGGGGTCGCCCCGCCCGCCGTACCGCCAGCCGCGGGACCCTGGCAGCAGCGCTGCGGAGGATCTACGCTGCAGCCAGCGGCATGCTCATCCCTATCGGGAGCGCTGTCGCCCATCCGCACGTCCGCGGGGCCCCACTGCCCTCCGGCCGCAGCCTGCGGGCGCCGTCTAGGATGGAAAAGTACCGGGCGGGTGGCCGTGGACTACCGCTGCACTGCGGCCTAGAGAGCACCGCAACGCCGGCCTGCTGCAGCCTTTGTGGAGCCCGCGAGTTGTAGTTCTTTAATTACCTGTGCTTGAAGGGGCCGGCTAGCACCTTGTAACAGCTGCCTATTATTAGCGAAATCAATCACACCCTGCCGAGGGCTGCGTTGCTGCAATGAAAGCACTTGAGTGGTGCTACAGTGAAGCACCACAGCTTCAGGGGACAAATGCAGCTAATATATGTCTAACCAAGACCTGCAATCTAGGTCAACGCCTTCCAGCTACAGTGCTGCAGCACAGAGTGTCACTTGAAAGGGGTTAGGGAAGCAAAATAAGGATGCTAAACAGGCTCTATTAAGTATTTTACTGCTGGAAGAGCAGTTGTGGAATGCAGAGAGCTTGCTGCCCTCAGGCACAGGAACTGTTCTCTACAGCACCTCTTGCACCACAAAAAGGATGTGGTTTTCCCCACTGCAGTTACAGGCAGACCCTCTCTGGGAGAAGTGGATTTACAGAGAGCTGGAGAACCTACCTTTATTCTACTGCTATGATGGATGCTACTGTATGGCAGAAACCATAACTTCAACACACCATCCTTAAACTCTAGCCCCATAGTTTAAACCCTCACCACTATAAGATGCTCCAAACAGCAACCATGTGCTTTCCAGTTCAGACTGGAGTAGAGATAAAGCTGACCTGTGGGAAATGCCACACCATAACAGAGCTATTTGACTGCTACGTTGGGAGCAGGTTTTGGACTCTGCCTCCAAGTTTACACATGAGCCAGGAAAGGCTGCTGCAATACAGCCTTTGCTTTTATTCATGTCTCTCTATGGTTCTCTACAAGAAAGAGTGAGAGAAATCCAGCTCTATGATAAGGAAAATCGGCTGAAGTTGGGGATTTCCACCATCCATCCAGCTTACCTTCCTCCCCCCTCCATGACAAAGCCCTTCTATGAAGGCTGGCATCAAGTAAAACTGGCCTTGAAGTAGCATCAACCTGACATCTGTCCTACTAGAGGCACCTGTCACTCTGCACAGCAGGCTCAGCTGGCAAGAGTGTAACTTGGCAGGATGAAACCTGTGTGCCTTCTACTGGATGATATTTCCCAAGTGCAACATTCCAGGACTGTTTCCACACCCAAAGTACAGCTGCCAGGACCACCAGAGTTGCACATTCTTCAAACAACTCAGAGCCGTGTAGTTGAGACGAAGTATTTTTCAGTTAGTGGACAAGAGACAAATCAGTCTTGACATAACATTTATTGAATATTTCCACTCTAGTGGATGAAAAGTCTGTACAAAACCAAACATTTCCTTTACTTAAACCAATCTATAACCAGTCAGCTCAATCAGAACTCACTACAAATACAATAGCTTCTTTGAAGCCATGGTAACACTTAAATACGGTTAAGACTTCAATGCAGAAATTTGGTTTGTTAGAGAGCTCAAGGGAGCTTCAGTTTTCAAAGTTACAAAAAGGCAAAATTGTGTTTCACAGATACAGTCCACTGGAATCACCAACACTGGACAATTAAGTACTTAAGAGTCCTGAGATAACAAGGAATCCTGGTATCCTTTAGACAGTTTTCTGTTGTCCTTTCTTTCCAATGAGAGACTTATGGATATGCGGTATTACACCTAAGAAACAGCAACAATTGAGACCATGTTATTTCTCAGTTTTCCTAAACTCTGCTCTTCAAGCAAGCAACAGCATTAACCAACCTCTAGATTGATAAGAGGTCTTGCCACCCAACCCATCACAAACAGCAAGAAATCTACATACCACCACCAGCAATTGTTGCCTTAATGAGAGAATCCAATTCCTCATCTCCTCTAATCGCAAGCTGCAAGTGGCGGGGAGTGATACGTTTTACCTTCAAGTCTTTGGATGCATTGCCTGCCAGCTCCAGAACCTGAGGACAAGTAAACTGAGTTACACAAACCAAAGTGAGACCAACTGCATGGCCTTTGCTATTTTACTCTCTGCGCCAAGTACACTAGCAACACCACCAAGATGGCAAACAATGCCTCTTTTGAAAGGGTTCCTCCTTTGAAGCTCTGCGTTTAGTTTTCCAAGAATAGAGTGAGTTTTACAGCAGACACAAGTATACTGACACAATTTGTAAAATACTTCACCCTTCCATCTTTCCTGTAAGTCAGTGATTTGAGCTGCAAGAAATGCGGAAGTGCATCCACTTAAAACTGGCATAAAGCAAGTTCACAGCCCAGTCCAAACTGGCAAAACCACAGCAGGCTCTGACCACTATGCCATTTTGAAGTTGACCAACTTGCTTGCATCCCCTGCAGCAGCCTTACCTCAGCTGTCAAGTACTCCAGGATTGCAGCACTGTACACAGCAGCTGTGGCTCCTACACGTCCATGGCTGGTAGTCCTAGACTTCAGATGCCTATGGATGCGGCCAACAGGGAACTGGAAAATAACAGAAGTATGAACAGGCTATGACGAAGGAGACAGAAAAAGAAAACCACATGCTGGGCAACAGAAGCCCAGTGGCAGAAGTACAGGCTACATTTCAACACTTGAGAATCCAACTTAGGACACACTATGCCAAGTTTACATCACAATTCTAACCATTAACAGCCACAAAGGAATTTTCTTCCCTCCCGAACAGATCTGTAAAAGGTCTAAAAATAAGCCAAGCCAGACATCAAACTCAAGGATTAAACAGATCCTCACGCCATAATGAACAACCAAGAGACAGTAGACTCTAAAAGTCTCACAAGGTACAACCAACCAAGACACGGAAGGCCGACCTGACTTTCCCTAATGCATGCCCCAGTCCCTGCTCACCTGCAGTCCAGCCCGCTGAGAACGGGACACTGCTTTGGTCTTGGTCTTTCCGGAGTCCTTCCCAGCTTTACCACCAGCCTGGCAATGAGAAGAGGTCTGTAAAAACGGCTGCGCCCACCCCACCACCCCCACTTCCCCCCGAGGAACCATACCTGAAGGCACCACGGCAGCGCCTTACCGCGCATGC